TCCTCCAGCTCATCTTCTGCTTTCTGCTCATCCTGCAAAATTCAAATTCATATAGAGCTTTAAGGAATAAAAGAAAATATTAAATTGGACGTTACATGATTGCTGGAAGATTCAGAAGGAATTAAGGAAAACATAATCTAATATTTTTGGAAACTTCTACTTTCTTCAAACTGAACTTAGAAAAGCATTATAATGCTAGTGCATTTGAGGAAAATTTCTTGACATTCTGTGTGCTCTTTCTCTCTCTATATATATATGCACACACATATATCCATATAGATATATAGCTTGTGTGTGTTTACTGAGGGGAAGGGAAGAAAAGCAAGATTAATCTTGGCTCCCCAACAGTTTAACAGAAAAGAGCTCTAAACGGGTGAAGTACTGGTCTCCTGGAATTAAACTAAAAACCTAATTAAAATTAAATTAAAAAACACTACAATTACAGATGCAGTTAGAAAAAAAAAGAAAACAAAACAAATAAAAAAACACCCACACACATAATACTGTGATCACAATGTGTTGCTTTGCGCCAGAGGCTTCAAGAACTAAGTGGAAAAGCAAGTTCTAATGCCAGACAAATACGTAGCAATAGCCAGATACCAAGTCGACACACTTACCTTGAAGAAAAACCCCACACCAGACTTCTGATCACCTTCACTAATTATGTCTGTAGAGCTATCCTGGTTTTCAAGTTCTCCTTCTTCTGGAGCTTTTAAATCAGATAAGTCTACTTCAATGAGATTAGCTTTGCTTCTCAATGGCTCATCCACTGGGACGTTTTCTTTTCCTGAGCCATCAGAACAATCCAATCCCGTTTCTTTTAAGCTGTTGTTCACTTCTTTGCTCATTTCAGAAATAATATTTGCATCCTTGGACGTTGAGAGAACAAGTGCCCGTTGATTACTCTCATCATGAAGTCTATAGGTATCAAAGAAACATTTCTCTTGAGATACAATTCCATGATCAGGACTGTTCTCCAGGCCAATTTCTGTTGGTGTCCTTGACAAGCTATTGGGTGGAAATGCTCTTAAATGTGGTAAGGTTTCTAGGCTTGGGGTTGGAGTTTTAATACGTGCTGAATTTTGCTGTCTGTCTTTCCCGACTTTCAGGTCTGCTGGTCTTCCCGATCGAGGATTTCTTCCTTGAGCAAAGCGAGGTGGCTTACGAAGATTATTCATTCCAGTTGGAGATAGGGGCTCGATAAAATGAATTGATGGTTTTACCTTTTGGTCCTGAGAGTTACTTCTGGTACCTGGTGATGGCACTGTTGGAGACTTCATAAGCAGCTCCTGCTGCTGAGAAATCTTTAATATAGCCTGCTGAAGGGTACTGATTGTTTCATTTAGCTTTTCAATAGAGAGATCACATTCATTAATATCGACTTCGCCAACATTGTCTTCTAGAAGGGCAACAGAAATAATCTTAGTTTTTTCTAATTCATGTATAGCAGCAGGGTCTTTTGGTTTAAGTTGTTCAGCAAAAGCTAAGCCTTCTTGCATTTTTACTTTTGTTACTTCTGGAGAATCATTAAGCATTTCTTCTCTCTCCTCATCTTTCACAAGAAACTCCTCAGACTTGGAGCTCAGAACTTCATCTAAGTCTTCCCCATTATGCCGAGGATACTCTTTTGCAAAATGTTCTGGTTTCAGTGGCTGTGGAACATCAGGAGATTTACCTTTTTTAACAACATGCAAGAAAGCAGCCTTGCCCAATTTTAGTCGCTGCCTTGCTGATAAGGCTTCCATCTTCTTCTTCTGAGCTTCTATCGCTCTTCGCTTCTCTTCCAACTGCATATGAAGCTGCACCAATTCAGAAGCTAAAAGATTAACATTATCTTTATTTTGTCTGCTGGGGCTTTGCTCTCGTTTCTGTTTCCAGGTGGTCAGGGGGGCTGGGCAGCTTTCTGATCCATCTGGTGTGGTCTTTTGTGAACTGCTTGTGCTGGACTTTGTTTCATAGCTGTTAAGCCTTTGGAGCTTTCGCTCTGCAAAACTGGTCATTCGGACACTCCCACTCGCCATTGACACGCTGCTAACTTGAGAAATTGTACTCAGGCACGGACTGGAACGTCCACTGGCATCATCCTTATCTTCATGTTCTTTCACCTTCATATCTTCTTGCAACTTTGCAGATTCTTCCTCACCTATGTATTTAGCGACTATTGGATGGTCATCTATGACTACCATATCCTGTTCAGCATCATCTATGTCCAAAAGATCTGAATCAGAGTCCTGTCTCACCATAGTCCATGTAGTATCTGCAACATGCGAATTGAGACTTTTCACATAACTTAAACTGACTTTGCTAGCTATGTCATCATCAGATTTAGCAGTATGAAGAAAAAATCCCCCAGTGGATTGCTCCTGAGATGAAGGTTCTAAACTGCTACAAGCCAAAGGTCTGGAAGCTTCTAACCCTGCTTCCAATAGCGTTACTGAGTCTGCAGGACTAGGATCTGCAACCGGAGCGAAATCAGAACTAGAAATCGGAGTAAAAGCCTTACTGAGGTCATGGTCCCCATGAGAGCTACTTGTTTTCTTGCGGACCAAAGGCAAGTGTCCCTCATTGAATCGTCTTGTTATAAAATTCCTTTGCTTTCCCTCCCCACATTCATCCTCCTTATTGATGATCTGTTTTTCCTTTGCTGGTTTCAGAACTGCAGGCATCAAGGGCTCCAAGTAAAAGCTGTCTGGTTTGCTTTCGGCAGCCTCGCTGTTCGTTTTTGGAGACCATGCAGTTGCGATGATGCTGGGCACCCTGGCTGATGCATTCTGCAATTCGAGGTCACCACGGTTTGGCCTTTCTTCAGATCTGATTATTGCAATAAGCTCTTCATCTTCATCCTCAATTTCAACATTGTTCAGCAAGCTCTTCCCATTAGTCTTCACTGACGGAGGATGGGCCTGGTTTTTTGGAGTCACATTAACAATGTTAGAAGCAAGACTGTCTTTGCTGATCGATCTAGCCAGACTAATGCTATCACCAGACCCAGGGTCCACATCAGTGCTTGCAGAATGATGAAGAGCAAATGGTGTTGGCTGAGACAGAGGCCTAAAAGAGATAAGAACAGTCTACTGATGCTCTTGTACAAAAAGTTAGCATTTATTAACTTGAGACTATGATATATAAAGCTAAATTTTTTGCTCCCTTCGAAAAACATAACCTATAACGAAAGTCACCAGTAATACCAAAAGGCTGCTTCAAACAGCTACATTTTCAGATGCTCACTGAAAACCATGCTTAAGACATTTTCAGTTATAAGCCTAAAATTTGCAATCTCTGATGACTCACTTTTCTTTGTTTAAAGAAAACAAGTAATTTTTGGCCCAGTTCTAAGGAACTGATAACACATTACTACAAAAAAAAAAACCACACCTACAATCATGGTATTGAGTAGCCATTCATTGAACTGCATTTCAACACGTTAAAGCACCTGTTACCTGGGTTTCTTTTCTGGCCACGCAAGAACTGAACCTCGTGGTTGCCCATCAACACGGGTCAGAGAGTTAGAACGATGTCGATGACCTGAAATATTTTTAAAAGGTCAGTAATTTAGAAATGGTCTTCAAACAAGCACTTGTAATTCTATTTAATAGCAAACACAATAAACTATTTCACCAAGAGATGGCAGCAGAAAATACATTCGCTAAAACATAATACATGAAAGAAAGAGAAATAAAATCAGGAAAGTATGATGCAATGTGACCACATACGCTACATTCGCTAAAACATAATACATGAAAAAATACATGATGCAATGTGACCACATATGCATATGTGATTTTGGGGTTTCCAAACACAAGAGTGCGATTTGGTTGGCATTTAGCTGACAGAAGGAAATAAATTCTAAGTTTCCTTATATAAGCCTTAGGTCTTCAGTAATCAAAAATATTTACTGGAAATGCACTATCTATCAAGTATCAAGTTTATCATTCTGGATGTTTTTCTATTTTCCAAGGCTTTCGTCACTCATATGCACATAAGACAAATGGCCTTTTTCCTTTCTTTTTACAAAATTGAAAGTATTAGTCTTAAATTCTTGCTCTTCAGATTCTGACAAATAAGCTCATCTGTGGACAAAAATAAGTAAGTAACTTTACCGAGAGATCTTTAAAATCCTTTTTAAAATCATCTTCATCTGCATTAAAAGGGATTTACTGAAACTAATGGTTTTCACTCATTACTGTATTGAAATGGATGGTCACCACCTGCTGAAATCCAGATTCAACATTGACTTACCAGGGCTGTCTTCTCCCTGTAAAGATTTTTGTTGCTTTTGTCTCAAAGGGAGCAGTGGATGGGAAGGGCTAAAGGCAGGGCTTCCTCCTTTGCCACTAATTCAGAAAAACAAGCATCCATTAGTACAAGAAATGCTTTTCTACAGTGAGAGAAACAAAATATGCTGATAATAGTTAATCTGCCCTCTCTTAAAACACAAGAATAAAGAATTAGTTTTCATGCTGATGTTGCTTAAAGAGAAATAAAGGTTTTCAGACGTAACATTACAAGAATAAAAGGCTATCTGAATTCAAAATGTTTTAAGCTTTTGCACAGAGACGGTTTAAAATATGACTCTCTTAATACTACATTAGAGACAATGACTGAGCTGGCTTATTTGTTGTACTCCAATTTATATCAACCGAGAAAGCTTATTTCTAAATTTCTTGTACAGTAGATCCTATTTAAGCTTGTTTTCCTATTACCATTCATAGAATACAGGCAGTAAAGATGAGATGTGTGATCAGTTCTCATGTTTTACTTTTTCCCCAAAACAGAAATTAGGCAATTTCTCTATAATGCAATGGTTACAATAAATGGTAAGGAATATAGGCTTATTCCAAAAATACCAGTGCCAAGTATTTCCTCAAGCTTGGGAGCTGAAATGTGTTTGGAGACTCACTGCACATAGATCAAAATTCACTTTTATTTGTAGTAAAATTAGAAAATTTAGCATTAGAATTTCCTAGGTTACCAGCTGGAAGAAAAAAAAAATCACTTAACAACATGAAAAAAAGATAAAATGACTTACAGATAGTCAGACTCCTCGGGGTGCAGGTAATATCTATTGCAAGGTTCAGGGCCTGCCTGAGCTGAAGGCTGCAGCTCTGCTGGGTTTGCACCAGCAGGGCTGGCCATGAAACTCCGTTTGGTTGCGTTGGAGATCGGAACCGGCGGGCGACTGCTCTTCTGCTGCAGCACTGTTTTAACTGCACATATATTTATAAGATTAATGCAACGCATGCCAACCATCAAGTGGCAAACAAGGAGTTTTTCAGACTGCAGGAGATTGCAGTGAAATAAAACTGAAAAGAAGCCTAAAGGAACAGTCTTTATTTACAATATTTATTCTATTGCGAGCTTAATGAAAACTAAGCAAGTGCTTAGCAGAGCTAGAAATTACCTGCCTATCTCAGGGTCAGGAGTGAACCCACAATGGATCTAGAACTAGATATTATTCCATCTTGACCACTCTCAAAGGTCTCCAGTAAGCAAGAAGTTTGAGTAGAAATAAAACTCCAAAGGAAACTGTTTCATTATACTGTAAGGTTTTAGTTTTAATGCACTTATATTTAATCAAAATTTTAAAAAATTACCATCTTTTATTTCCTGAATATCCCTCGGCTGTACAAAGTCTGGTTTGACATTTTCAAACCACCAGAAGAGTTCCGCAATGAAAACCATGACATTAGGCTAAAAATAGAAAAGAAAACAAAAGCATGATAAACAAAACAGATTGTTAATGATTTACCTACATTTAAAAATATATCCTTCATTATGTTTCTTACCTTTAAGACCAAAGGAGCGTATAACATGTCCTCCAACGTGAGGTAAAAACATTTGTTTAGATACTCATTTGAGAATTCTCTCAAAAGTTGAATATTATAGAGGCTGTCTGCAATGGAAGTTACCTCCTTCAAGCAAATATCTAGAAAGGTGAAAGCGCATGAATCCATTATGGCACTATCACAACAAGTTAAAGCTTCAACCACAAAGAACAGAAACATGACATACAAAAGCTTCACAGACTGTTACACATTACCTAGATCTACAAAAGATCTAGGTAAAGATCTATAAACTCTATTAGGGTTTAGAAAAAGCAGAGCAGATTCTAAATACATTATTTTTTTTAAAGGGTCTGCTTTTAAAATGCATTGGTCTTATGTATATTTCATATACGACAGTACTCTTGTTTGTTATAGACTACCACCTGTTGGATGCACTGCACTTATCTTTGAACTTTTATTTCTAGTTTAACTTTTATGATCGAATATGTTTTATTGGTATTTTTTTAGAAACCCTAATTACATACCATCTAGTTTCATGTGCTCTGGGCAATAATAGTGTATCACAGCTAAAAGAGCAGCACCATCACTCCCATCCTTCATCAAATCTTCAAGCAAAGGAAAGTAAGGCAACTGCCTGCTGGAAAGATGGTCTCTTCGGTAACGCACCTACCAAGAGAAAACGAGGGCTCACACAGCGCCAGGGAGAAAGGAGTTTTTTCTTAAGCATTGAAAACTCTTTATGGTAGATTCTTTAGAACATTTTGTTTTATCTAACTGAAAAACAGTTTACAAGGTAACACACTTCTCAGCGGAAGCCAGTTCAGAAGAAAGCTGTACTTGCTCTTTACTCATCTTCCTCGCATGTGAACACAACCTACACTCCTGAATTGCAGCCTTCCTCCCCACACTTTAACTTACGACAAGCAACGTAAGTCAAAATCCTTCCACACAGATTTCTGAATGCAGCAGATCCAAACCAATAGAGAAAGACAGACTAAATATTTTCTTGAAAGAAAAAGACCAGCAAAAAAAAGACACTTGTGATGGGCTTTTCCCAAAAATGGTCAGCAGCAGGAGGAAGTAGGCAATGGAAGTCAATGGCAAAGGCCTCCTTGACTTCACTATAAATCAAAGTTTCCCATCCCCTCAAAATCTGGAGGGTGGCTAATGCGTAACTGAAGGCAACGCATTAAAGAATAAAACTAAACCAACATCGCTCCATGCAATTTTGGTTAAGAGCAGTTTTAGCCTTGCTATTTATTAAGGGTCTGCATGTTAGATTAGATTAGTAGGCTGTATCTAAACTCCAGCAACAATGATCTATCCCCAAGAGGAACCACACATTTGGGAACCTAGCAGAAATATTTTTTTTAGTGTTCAAAATGATTTCTTTTATACATTAAGTGCATAAATGTAACTTGCACTCTCACATGAATCTTGACTGATGCGCTTGCCTTAACAGATATAATCAGAGAACACAAAAAACACAGCAATAAAAAAGTCAGATTTTACCAATGGCATCATACACTTTCCAAGACAGCTTTAAAAAGCTGTCTCTATAAACGTACACACACACACTCATCTGTGTCAATTTAGGATGGCACAGGCTGAGAAAAAATCTGTTCAAAAAGAATGAAGGTCACTTACAATCAGAGCAAGAAGAAGAATAATTTATTTATTCGCCTATAGGGCACAAATACAAAACAAGCTACTCTAGGTCCTCCTGGCAAAGCAGGCAATTCTAAAAGCTATGGCTACACACTAATGCTATTTTTGCTTTCCTTTTACCAGGTGTAAATGTTATTTTTCCCCAGCCTGGGGCACTCCACAAACACGGAACGGAACGGGAATCATACTGTACCACACGAGCATACTCCAGTGGCTCCCGCATGCAGTGCGAGATGGCATGCAGCAGATCGGGCTCACGCAGAAAGAAACGGCGAGACACAGCATGGTCATTATGGAGACACGCGACAAATCAAAGGCATCAGCAACACCCATTATGCACTGCAAATGTGGCCACCAAGCCCGACAAAATAAGCGCGTACACTAAGGTGATCTGGTTAGCTTAAAAGGTTCGTTATTGACCCACTTAGTCAAATTAAACACATTAAAGACAAATTCAGAATTTCCTTTTTACGTTTTTGTTACTACTAAATTTTAAGTAGCTACACGTATTTCCTTTGCAACAGGTTTAATGGGGAATTAGACCTATCACAGCCAATACTGGGAAATTAAATATGTAAGACCCTCTTTTTCCTTTTAATTTTGGTGAAAAATACACGCAGCCATCACTGGTGATGTTTTTATGGACTTCTCCATTTAACTCCTTACATTTTCCCCAACTTTTCCTCTCTTAACCATTCATTCTTTTATAATGAAAACTGTCATTCTTTGTTATATTCTAAGCTTTGTTTTGTTCTTTTCTTTTTTTTTTTTAATACATAACCTATTTGTTTGCATTAAAGTGCACAAATGGGTGCTACCGAACTCAAAAATGAGTTAACTGTATGCAGTAAAAAATGAAAAAGCATGACTTCAGTGAAGACAAGTGCCTTTGATAGCCTCCAAATCCCAAAAGAAATAAAGAAATAGGGAGAAGAGACAAAACGTGAGGAACAGTGTGGAGACTGCAAGGAATATGTTAGCAAAGCAGTATAAAACGAGGGGTACTGGACTAGCAGTGAGATGATTTCAGTCAAACTTCTTCCTCTACCACAGACTTGCTCAATGCTGTCAGGCAAGTCCAATCCCTTTCTGCATCTGTTTTTTCTACTCCCCCCCAGATGCCTCTTTATATTATAAACAGCTTCAGCTTCTTAGAAACGCTGTCCCATGCAGCCCCAAACACAACTGGCATCTTTAAGCATGCAGGAAACATACGTGGTAAGCGCCAGGTCGATATTTCATTATATGCTGCCTCAAATCATGACATAAGGCTGGGAGATGGGGCTCTATCCCACGTTTTACCAGCCTGCAGGTCCTCATTTTAATTTCCTTTATTTCAGAAATGTATTTCCATTCCAATGTCCATTCGTTTATTTGAACCCAATGAAAGATGTGGGCCAGCAGGGTGGACTGAGCTCTCTGTGCCAAGGCAGGAGGTTGTGGGGACAGGAGGCTCCTGCCTTTCCCAGCTGAACCAGGAGCTGGGAACAGCTCTCCTCGGCCCGGACAGAAAACGAACGGCAACAGACCCGGCGAGCAGAGGAGAAAGGGCAGCACGGCCAAGGAAAACACAGGAATAACGGGAAAGCTCCACAAGTTCAAACAACACCTGGAAGCTCAGCCAAGAGCAAGCAGGCTGTTATAACATTCCACTAAAACAAAAAACAAAACCACATCCATTTTCACATTTCATTTATCAAAAAATAAAATAAATCCTTTTTTTGATATGTAGGGTGTTAATTCTGTCTTTTCTCCCACTGTGTCAGCTTCAGTCTCTTTTAATTTACCATTTAATTTCAATAATTGTAATAATGGGTCCTAAATGGTTCTGGTTTTGATTTATAAACCTAGTAAAAGCTAGGGGGAAAGGCCTGGAGCTTTCTCTTACTTATATTTAAACATGTGGTTGAATAAACGGAGAAGCAAGTATTTTCTTTTATTTTACAGAAAAGCCGGAGCTACACTGTGGTTTATATATTTACATATATATATATATATATATTTACATATATATATAATATATATACTTATATATTTTTTTATATATATATATAAAAAATATGTATCCATGCGTCTATATAAGAGAATGCAAGAGCATTACTTAACAAATTACTCTTACCACCTAGAATATCTTAACTATCCAGTCAAAATGAAGCAACCATTTAATCTGACCAGCTTTCATATCACCTTAGTGTGGCAGACGATTGCATCCTTGCAACAAGCACAGCAAATGCAATAAGTTTCAACCACTGTTAATTTTCTGAGTTTTTTCGCTGCTACTCCACATCCCTCACTCCTATGGCAACAATTTTGAAGTGCTGTGAAGTGATTATGCTATATGCTGTACAGTATGCAAAAAAAAAGTCATGAAAACTAAGCCTGATGAACCAAAACCAAAAGACAGTTTTAGAAATGATTATCTAAGAAGCATCATGATGGAAGCAAACACTCTGAAGAAATTCCCAAAGCCATGGTTTTGTGGATGACAACTGGTGTAAAAGTAGTTCACTTACAGGTACTAATTTCCAATACCATTTGGAAGGAGACTGCTCAGGAAGCAAGGAAAGGAACGTAGGAACAGGAAAGGAACATCAGCGATGCAAGTTAAACGTAGCAGTATTTAAATGCACTTAAGCAATAAACACTTTCATATTTTAGAGTCATCTTGGCATGGAAGCTTGAATTAAAAATATTAAAATGAGATCCAATAGTCTTTAACAGCCAAATAGTTAACAGGATCCTTCAGATCACACACCAACATGTAAATTAAACAGCTCTTAAATCCCTTATCAGTCAAGGATATTAGTTTACATAAAAGGCATGTGAGGAAACCTTTGCCCTCGATATCAAAGTAAAACAATCGTGTCTAGCTCATGTCACAATTTTATCCCCTTTGCATAGCAAAGTCAATTTGAGGAATGAGCAGAGATTATTTTTAAGGTTTCAGTAAATCATAAATTGAGAGCACATAGAGCCAATATACATTCTATTTGAGAAAAATCCATTTTACGTTCTCCAGAAATGAAAGTGTAGTATACATTTGCAATGTTAGTGCATTGTGAGTTTCAAGGGAAAAAGGTGGAAAAAATTGCACGCACACACACGTAACATTTGAATGCCAAGAATACGCTTACCAGATAGAATTTGATTAAGCCCTGAATTTATATTAGATAATTAACCCATGCAAAATGAAAATGCCCAAAAGCTTTCAAAATCTGTTATGTATTTTGCACTTTAAAAACAGAATTACGCTTATCCAGATCATAACATTCAAAGGTTGAGCAAGTTAGTCTATCTGGAACTTAAAAGGGAAGTTGACAGATACTACTGAGACTAAAGGTAGTTAAGGGCACTGATGATACACACAGGAATTGCATGCACAAAACCTCAGAAGCTTCAACACCTGGATGCCTCACAATAATCCAACAAAGAAAATATTGAGATATTTTGCTTAAATCTGTTGTCAATACTTCACATTAAAACAAATTTATTTTACCTTTTGGTGTCCCGGACTTTCCATTAACTGCTGTTTTAATTTTATCTCTTTCTCTGTTATCTCTCTCATTTTAAGGTTCACCTAAAAAAAGCACCAGAAAGATCTTAAAATACATCTGAATATGTTTTTCCACTAGCTGTGTTTTTTTTTCCCCAGTCAACAGTCAATCTATTCTAAAAATATTAAAAGTTTATACAATAATGTAGAACGGAAAAAGAGGAATCTTGCACGCATTTTCACTTTAAATGGAGAGAATTTATCATAGAAACATAGGTCTGCTTTTGATTTCACATGGGTCGCCCTCAATCACAAGAATCCTTAGACCCATGTAAGATGTATGGACATATAAATAATGTTAGTTTTCAAGATCAACCATAAAGCAGTGGCTTTAATTACAACGATTTTCCTTCTAAGGTTGTGGAAAAGCTTAGGTTAAAAAAGGAGTTTGATAGCAATACAAGTGCAATTAAGCATTTATTTATGGTTCTCCAAAGGGAAGCATATTTCCATAAAAAATGCAAATTTATGAACAAACTCAGCCTATCTTCCAATGCACATCTCATTATTATATGATACATAAAAAAATGTGTTCTTCTGGGCACCTAAGTTCGAGAAACAACATTTGAAAGTGATGACAAAAAACAGGCACACTTTTCTCAAGATAAATTTTACCTTGTTAATCCAGAAAACCATTGCATCCTCCAGATCATAGGGTAGTTCTTTTGAGGCACTGAACGTAGAGAAACGCTTGACGCTGGCGACCACCTTCTCAATGCTGATCATTTCTACAGTATAGGCCATCATCAGAGCATCGATCATTGCCATATGAGAACTCTAGAAGAGGAAAGCAAAGGCTATTGCAAAACAACATCCTTTAAGAAGGAGTCTTTAAATATTCCAGCTGTATTTACAATGAAAAATTTCCCAGCTTAGCAACCTAGAAATTAAGAGCTCTTCATTCCATTAACCATTTTAAATAGTGTTAAATAAAAAAAGATCATTAGGTGGATTTAATTAAGCTAACCATTTTGATTGGTGCGCAGCCCAGATCGGATTCAGACACAGGTGTATCATCGCTCTCCATGACGTAAATCCCCTTCCGAGACAGAGCCTGGATCACGGACTGGTGTCCCTGCAGAGCAGCCACCTGATCCCCCTTCAGAATGAGGCTGCAGACACGACAGTAGAGCTCGCTGGACAGCAGCAGCTTGATGACGGGTGGTTTGATGTGCTCCTGCTCGTACTGGTCTATGTAGAACGGGTCCTTCAGCTCTTCCGGGACATTATCTGAAACAAAGTGTTTCAACAAGAGGCATCTGTAAGTGGCAACTATTATAAACAAGAAAATACACTTGAATTCAAAGGCGGCCTGTGGAAAAGCAAAACAGTGGAGTGAACATGCAAACTAAAAGATATTGAATATAAAAAAAAATAGTTTCGTATTGCAAATGTTTTTGGCAGGTCTTTGTGTTTACATTTTCATTAAATAGAAGTATACATAATTAGCTCCCTGCTCACACACACCTCAGTAAGTAACCTGCAGGTTATTGTCAGCTTTCTCAGGTTACTAAGGCCCCAACTCAAGGAAGCATTTCAACACAGACAAAAATAAATTAATTAATTAAATAAAGCCTATGATGCAGATTTATTCAATTTGGATTTTTAACCATCAGTTGATTCACTTTGAAATGATACTATTTCCATATGTTGTCTTATAATTTTATGGAACTGAACACAGGTCCTGAATGTAGTAATTTACATGCAACATAAAATTAACAGAACAGGAGCTTTGATCCCTGCACAGCGCTTCTTCCCTGCGCCTCATGCAGACTTAGAGCACATCTGCTCCCGAGAGCAGAGCTTCCCAGCTGGCAACACTTGATCACACAGCCCTGGCATCGCCCTTCCCATGCCCACTCCCCAAGGGGCTTTTCCTTCATCGCAACCATAGCACTATTCTTAACATTATTCAAACTGGTTTGCCCCCAGGGGCTGTGGAGCTGCAACTGTATTTAACAGTTATTTCCAGCTCCAGAAGGAGATTGACAGATTCCATTCCCAATGACTGAGAAAGGAACCAAAACCCAACTCTAAAGCAGTCCATATTACTCAACACTTCAGCTTTGTTACAAGCACCTGCCCCTTAAACAACCTAAGATACATCGCTTTTTAAATAGTTGGAAATAACAGCATGCTAGCTGATACTCAGGAACATCCGTGATGAAGTACATCGCTGGTAAGAGCATTAACTTTATTCCAATGTTTAAAAGGATTTTTTTAATACAAAAGCAGGTCTATTCAAAGCATCTGAAATCTGAAGCATTTCCTTAGCATGATGTTTTTGCTAAAAAATGCCTTCCACCAATTCCACAGCACCGCAGCACAGAGTAGCCAAGCACAGTACAGAGTATCTAAGATTACTGTCAGAAACTGGACAAAAAAATAGAATAAAACGGGGCAGGTAAATATACTGGCCTTCTCATTCCTTCCTGACCAGGCTTTCACATTATTGGTCTTTGACCAAGCAGAGCAAAATCCAGAACCTGTAAATCAGAACTGTCAGAACATGAGTCTTAGCTTGCTGTGTAACTCAGACAGGAAGGCATCCCCAAACCGATTATTGTTTAAAATAGCAATATTTTAAAGATTCTTTTTTAGGTCTTTCCTAGCAAATAAAATCGTCAATCTACTTCTTGGCAATGCGATTTGCTGACACAAAAATCAATATACTTAAGACTCTCACTAAAAAAAGAGACAGACAAATATCCCTAAGTACCTCCTATTTTGGATGCTGTTCTCTGATTGGCATTTCCAGCAGAGAGATCTGAAATGGTCGTCTTTTATGTTGAAGAACCTTCTAATTTCATGTTTCTTGTCTCCATATAATTGCTTACAGACTGAACAGATTAGATCAGGATTAAAGGTACAGGGAAGAAGAAAATAACTTCTAGTATCCTGACTAATCTGCTCCATAGCTCATTCTTGTTCCGAAGAATTGAATGTTATGCATTTCTGTACCCAGATTACAACAGAGATGCCAAATTGTATTTTAATAGCATGATAATAAGTTATTCCTAAATACCCATTTTCTGCTGCTTGCAACTTATCTCACTGTAAACACTTGCCCTGTTTTATTTTTTGTATTTTTAGTGTTTGCAACACTTCTGCCCGCTGAATTGAGACCAGAGACTATCTGCTATAGAAAGGCACGATGTTTTAAGCGATGTGATGTCACAGCTAAAGGATTGCTGAAACTTGAAGATACAGAGACCACCCCAATGCTCAGGTGCAGTAAATACTAGGGCTTTACTATATGATTCAAGGCTGCTTCATACTTTTCTTGTGGACATCACTTTCCTGTCCACACAGCAGCACGAAAGAAACAAAAAGAGAAACAAATAGCAGGAAAAACTAATGTGAAAAGGATGCTCAAGAAGCCTGAACGTATAGGCTGGGAAACATCCACACAACATATTGTAGCTACCTATTATACAATGTAATTACCTCGAATTTGAGATAAGTCTTTCCAGTCAGCCACATCATAGTATTATCTTCAATATTTGAAATTCATATCTGCAAGTACAACCTAGAAGACCTATTTACCTTCCACATCTCTGCTAATTGTTTTTATCTATGGTATAATGCCACATAAAACAACCAGCTGCAGCACACAGACCTGCCCGTTTGCCAAAATCCACTTACAAATGTCAAGATTCCCACACGGCCAAAACATCAGAAACGAGCCATCAGATTTAGAGCAATTAAACACCGCCAGAATTAAACAACATTCATTTAATCTACAATTATATCATACCGACACACAAGTATCCACCTTTTCCTCAGCATTTTTTAAGTTTAGATCAACTCCAAACACACCATATGCTTTTAGCTTGCCTCAGTACCTAAAATATCGATGCTCTTTCCACAGAAAAAGGCCAATCTTTTCAAGTCTCAGTTTCTAGAGGCATCTTGTTCAACACTTTACTTTCATGACCTGTAACTGTATTTAGCTGTTGTAAAAAAAAAAAAATCAGTTTTAAATCCTGTATTTTTACAGATGAGTACTTTGGACTTCTGGAAAACAAACAAACAAAACCCGACACCAGAGCAATTCACTTCCAAGCTGTTTCTACAAAATTTCTGGTTGGACTGAATTTAACAAATTGTGCAAAATTGCAAAGCAAAAACATCTAAACTATGTCCCGGTTTGTTTACAATAAGCAAATACAGTCTTAACACCATCTTAAGATAACCTCTTGATTCCAAAAGTAAGCCACTTTTATGTTACTATTGCACATTACTGAAAGGCTTGCAAGCATCTTTACTGAAAGCAGAGTACACTCCTGACTATTCATTTTGTCCTAAGTTTTCTATCAAGAATAGTCCAAGGATATGTCTGAGGACTAAGCTTAGGATCAGACCTGACTGGTTCTCTTTTGCACACTGATATTATATAAATTTTACATGATGTCAGTTGGCAGCTGCAAGCAGAGAGCTCATCACAGAACAAAGACACTCACTTCTACCATCTACACTTAACAAGCTAATAATATATTTTTCATGTAGCACAGCAAAAAAAAGTTGTAAGTGCTCCTGCCTCAATAAGTATGGCAGAAAGATAACCTCTACCAACCTCTCCTCTAAAGGAGAGGAAGCTCAAGGGAACTCAAAAACAAGCCAGCACAATTTCTCATGAAGCTATTTTGCTGTAGTCCTTCATGTCAATGAGTTCTATTCTCTCAAAAAAAATCAGTATTAAGTATAATTTTGTGTACAGCAATTTAAAACATTACAAAAATAGCTGCACACACAGAAATAAGGAACCCAGAGGTCTACTTAAGCAGTCAGTTTAGCCCAGGAAATATTTTTACACTGACCGCACCAATGATTGCTGCCTATGGGTAGCTAGCCAATCCTGTAAGCCTTATTTAACAGGTAAATGTTACCTACTTACTTCAAAAATAAAAAAGCACTGCTTGAATTCCCTCTGCTGTGCATTAAGTTAATGTGTAGCTTTCCTGCCAGTATCTTACCAAAGGTCTCAGGTTAATGTCAGGGATAAGCCTGGAATCCATGCAAAGCTCCTAGCCCTAGTAAGTAGGTATAAGCCACCCAGTTCAATTTGACCAGTCTGAATTTTAAAAACTATTTTTAAAAAGCAGCAACATTTGTTATGGAAAAGGATCTGAACAAGACACTAGCTGAGAGCAAGCTGGAAGATAGAAATCTCCCATATATTCCTTGGATATCTAAATTTCAATTCTATAGCCATGACAATGGAAAGTGTAATTCCTACACATAAATTAATGCTGTACTAGCTAAATCTGCTGAGATAATGAAATTTTTCACTGTCATTGTACATTTTCTCAAGTTGTAATAAATGAAAACTGACCAGTTTTGTCAGAGCCTGAGGGGACCAGTACACTGAAAGATCAGGTCCATTTCACTCTGCTCAGCTTTTTCCAGTGTGTGGTCCTATTATTATTTGGAAATCTGGTTTATTCTAATGACTGTGAAAAAGCAGCATCTCTCACGGATGACTTGCCAAGCTTATCTAAACCTCCCATAACTCTCTTCTGAAAGGTCAGGATGATTTTGCAAAGGGATTTAAGTATCCTGTGAACTAAAGTCCCACAAAAAGTCAACAGCAACTTTCCTTCTAAGCCACCTAACGAGGCACAATTTTATTTTCAAGCTGCTATTAGAATTCCTCAGAACTCTTTACATGCACATTTAGACCACATGTAATCAAGGTTCACTGATATTAAAAAAATAATTTTGTTCTTATCGAATTCCATTCCCTTGAACTACTGTCTCAGCCAAACAGACTTTGTATCTTCCAGGTGTACAGAGGCTCCTGGATGTTTGTCCATAGCCCTTCACAGAGATGCAAGAGCTCCCAGATTTGTTTGGGGAGAGGGAGGGAGCAGGCTCCGAACGGGGGAACACCTTCCTTCAAAACACCATTCCTCTCCACTCTGGAATTGAGACAAACAGTCGTAAAAGCTCCCTCCGGAGCCCATCTGTGCCTACCAGGCAGCCACCAGCGGAGCAGCCAGGAGGAGCTCTCTGCTCCACAAACAGCCAGCCCAATTCCCAGGAAAAAAAGGCGAGGAGCAGGATGCTCGCTAGCAGGATTTGTGCCCAGGAGGGAAGGTCGCTCGCTTGGCTACCAAAATCCTCTTTTTAGGATTTGTGGAAAAGACAGAACGCCTCAGGAAATGAGGCAGAGCCTAGGCCAGGTCTGCATGCCTTCAATAGCTCTTCTTGGAGGAAAGAAAAGCAAAAAAAAACGAAAGGAGTAGCATTTCGATTTGTGGAAAAGACAGAACGCCTCAGCAAATGAGCCCAGGCCAGGCCTGCATGCCTTCAATAGCTCCTCTTGGAGGAAAGAAAAGGAAAAAGGAAAGGAGCAGCATTTTTCACAAGCACAGCAAGCTCAGATGTGGAAAGTCCCAATATCTTGCAATATTAACAAGAAACCATGGCTTCAGATAAACCAACAGTGGTAAGTGGCTGGAAGTAACAGTCTATATCTGAATCAAGTTTTTGTTGTTGACCATTCTCACCCCTAAGTCTGAGCTTTGCCTTACTCAGGTGAAAATGAGATCCACAATATGCACTAGCATGTGCAAGGCTGGGGCACAACATTATGTGCAATCATCTATGTCTATTCCAAATCCAGCATTTCAGAAAAATACTCTTTAGTGGACACTTGAGGACAGTTATGGAAAGCCTACAGATAAGAATTACTGTGCAGAACATAAGATACTGTTTTGATAGTATATAGAGAGAAACATCTTTTTTTTATAAAATTGTCCAAGACTAAGAAGCCTAAAATAACAAAATCAAAAAGCTTCAAAAAACAAAACAAAATCCTCTCCATTGCTTTGTAGCTGTCCAAGACTTAGTGAATGACATCAATATTTTTAAAAAAAAAAAAGAGAAAAAAAAAGAAAGACTCAGAGACAATGAGTAACATGTTAAGTTCAAACATTATTCAAAATCATCATTTTTTTAATCCATCTATGAATTAAAGAGGCTTAAATGTTTCCAAGCATTTTGCAATGCTATTCTAGAAGTAATGTTTACTGTGTGACAACGCCGGCAGGAGCCATTTCAAAAATCACACTAAATTTCCACAGGCCATGGTGCTACAAAGATACTCATGGCCAGAAGACCCCGCTCACTGGAGCTCACCAAGAACGGCCGTGCCAAAATCCCCAGCAAAAATAAATTCTTCCTACTGTTCCTGGCATTTAATTCCTAAAGCACGTGAGCTGAATGAGCCTAAAAACCAGCTCAAAATCCTGGCAAATGCAACCTTCTCTACACTGCAGATCTCATCACTGGCACTACTGCAGAGACTAAAGGAAACTAGGAAAGATTTGGGCTTTTTCCCAATGAAAAACATACTTAACCAATCCTGGTCCATAATGGAGCCCCAGATCACACTAGCAGAGAAACACGAGACCCTACAGCTTTCCTTGTGGTGCATGATCCATGCTATTTGGAATTAGTGTTCTTTTGAAATAAAGTCAAAATATTAACTAGTGTCTCCATGTCAGGAATATACGTTTTATCTCTGGCCACTAAGAAGTCTTCAGTGAACGTTATAAACAATTCCAGCAATTGAAAAATATTTACATGAGAAAATGCCTGTTTAGTTCTTGTAAGCCATCAACATTATATGATAACTGTCTCAAAATTCCCACTTTTTCTTTTTTAATTTCCGTTCAAACATTATAAAACTATTACTTCCTTTCTGCTTTCAGCACAATCCTGAAGGTGAAGAAGACACTGACAGTGCTGGAAATATTAACACAAAAAAAAATGTCATCCTTGGGGAAGTATTTCCTCTGTGTTATTTAACTGTAGGAATGGACTGCTTTGCTTCAGCCTTGCCACAAAGCGAGCTAGTGTTAATCCACTAAGCATATTATGAGTTTGGCAAATCAGACTTAGATTAATAGGGCTATCTCATTTTCCAAAACAAGATTTTGTACACGTTTTGTACATATTATGTTTTGTTCTGGATAAACAACTACTCTGTCACATTTCTACAGAACGAAGCCACTTAAAACTCTGCGAGTACCCAGCAATCAAGGTTCAGAATAGATAGGTCTAGCTCAAAATCTAGCCCTTCACAAAGGATGCTAGGAAAATATAAGTAATATCCAGCAAATCTTCATTTTCCACATTTGACTGTAACGGTTCCAAAAACATAAAGGAAGGAAACCCTTCTATTCATCACAACCTGCTGTTTTACATCACACAGCACAGATACCTTTTATCTATTCAAGCCAACGGGGTGGGGTTTTTTTATGACATAAAAGCATTTTGCCGATGGATTTCTTCTGCTTCGTTTTCAAGCAAATGCCGAAATCTGACGCATGAAAAAACAAAAGGGGGGAAAAAAAGAAGAAACAAAACAAAGCCCAAGGCCCAGCATACAAAGAGCGCGAGGCCGGAGCATCAGCGGGCCACGGTGAGCAGCCCAGGGAGCACGTTAAGGCCTCAGCAGCCTGCAGGGGCTCCAGGGGCACCCGCTCCGGTGCCACCTGCTCAAAGGAAGATTCAGACATTTCGAGGGAGAGAATAACTCGGAATAACTCCCTGTGGGCGTCCACCACCAGGCCTGCTGGCATGCAGCAGTTCACGCCGCTTCGCTATTCCTGCCGACCGCACCAGGAAACGCCGCAGCGTGACAAGAGGGTAGGCTGGCATGACCGTGGATGCTTCAAACAAAGGCAATTTCGGGCAAATTTCGGCGCGGAGGCGGCAGGCGCGAGGCGAGGAGCGCGGCCGCCCGCCCGTGCCGCGGCCTTACCTATTCCGTAGGCTTTCGCGCAGATCCATTGCAGATTAGCAGCTATTTTCGCTCGGGCTGAATCATAGAGCTCCAAAGGGACGATCTCGAGGGCGCCGTCGGCCAGGGCATCCATCTTCCTCCGGGCGCCCTCGCCGCCCGCGCAGGCATCAGCATCCACCATCTGCGAGGACAACAAAAGGCCGACGGTGGCACCGGTGCCCCCCGTGTCACCGCGCGGCGCCGGGGGGGCCCTCAGCATCCCCCGGGGGCGGAAGGCAGCAATGGAGGAACACCGAAAAATGACAGCTCGAGGGCGGGCATATTATTTTTTATTATTATTGTTAAGGTGGGATTTGGTGGTGGGGGGGTATTTTTGATTTTTTTTTAAGGTTTTTTCATGCTGGCATTAAGCAGAATGGGAGGGGGATGGAGGGGGGGTGTCGCTGCCCATCACCTGCGCGGGGATAAATAATGAGGTAAATGAAAGAGATAAATAGAGAAAT